CGGGGCGGGGGGCCGGCAGCGGGATCGCACCCCTCGGTGTTGCTCCCACGCCTCGCTCAGCCAGTGAGCGGGAACCGGTCCGTATGTGGGACCCGAACCCTCGGGCGGGAGCGCTGCCGCGCTTCCCAAGCGGCGCACTATCCAGTGCGCCACCGGGCCGGCCCGAACAGCACCAGTTTTAAAGGAGGAGAAAAAGTGGCTGTGATAATCAGTCTACAAACCCCAATGCTGTGTGGAAACATTTTTCTAACTTTAAATTCAAAAGATTTATCTAAATAAATAAAACTTCTGTAATATGTAAAATGCTTTAAAAGGCCTTGGAATTTGAGGTGGGTTAAATCCCATAAAATATCTCCAGAGATCCTAGGAGGAAGGAATGTAGCCAGAAAGAACAGGACCAGAGCAGTCTTTGATAGAAAATTGAAGAAAGAGTGTCAAAGTAAGAATCTCATGGATTCAAGTGCTAGCTGCTTCTCCTACTGCTGTATAGCCTATGGCAAGTTACTCTCTTAGAAGCCACTAAGGGAGAGTTCAAAATACCTACTCTGCCTCTCTGAGGATCATAAGACAACCTGTCTCAAAGTATCTTAAAGCACATTTATAAAAAATTAACAAGAATAATCGCAGGCACAGGAACCGGGCTACTGGCATTGCTAGTTATAGCAATTTACAAAACAACCCAAAAGATAGATAATAATAGTTATGTTCATAGAATAGAATACTATTACAGCAGTGAAAATAAGGATAGCTACCCACATCAACACGGATCTCAAAAAAAGATGCATGAAGTCACAAAAGAGTAGTATGATTCCATTTGTATAACATTCAGAAGAGGACAAAACTCCACTAGTTAAAGGGACTAAAAACATTTAAAATAGGTAGAAAGTGATTTAAAAAATTCAGGATAATGTTTTATTCTGGAGGGGAATAGGGCAATGTTATCAAGGAGGCATACACAGGAGGCTTCTAATGAACTGATGTTTTGTTTCTAGGCTGGGTGGTGAATACATGAGGGTTTGTTTTATTATTTTTCTTTTTTTTTCTCTACCGTTATTTTTCTTCAAACTGTATATATATGTGTACATCCTCCTCTCTATGTATGAGCAGTCCATTATAAAAATAATGTACTTAAAAATAACCCAGAAAAGGATTGTTTTAATCATTCACTGAATTTTCACTGCTAGACCTAAACATTTAGGTACCTGGACTTATAGATTCTGAATCCAGAGATCTAGATTCGCTGCTCCCTCCAGTACTCTCAGAGTCACTAAACATCCCAAATGTCCATGGTCTTATAAAAGGACCTTTAAGAAAAGAATATTTAAAGTCAAAACTTGTTTAGAGGTGGATTTCATAAAGCAAAATATTGACATTATATAAAATGAGACCATGCAAATTTCTTGAAAAATAAACAGTTACTGACTTTAAGACAGGCAATGTGGCTATAACTGTCCCATAAAGTTACAACTTAAGGCCTGATTTTTTTAATTCCAGAGCTCCAACGTATTTAATAAGCACACTTAAACTATTTGATCTTTCATAAATAAGAGCTCTTATTAGCGTGAAAAACTACCTGTTATATCTGCACCATTAGAGCATCTGTCCTCTTCAATTTTACTAGAACTGTCAGGAAGGCGTACAACGTCCTCTAAAGAGTCGGCAGGTCTATATCCAGAAGTTTGGGGAATATTTGTTAATTGTTTATTTACATTCCTAAGAAAAACCCAAATAAAACTCAGCAATCAGAAGAATGACTAATAATCAACCTATTTTATTCTATGTTCAGAAAAATCTATTCATTTAATGAATGTAGATAGAGTAATTAAACTAACTAAATATTAAGAACAAACCATATTATATGACTCAGCCTCTTATAGGAGATGTGAATAAAACTTTTAATTATTTGTACTTATTACAGCTGAAACATAGAAAGGAGTAGAAAAGCACAGTTAATAATTCATGTCATAGTTAAACTTTTCTAGCACAACCTCTGTGGAAAACAGAAAACTTTTAATTATTTGTACTTATTACAGCTGAAACATAGAAAGGAGTAGAAAAGCACAGTCAATAATTCATGTCATAGTTAAACTTTTCTAGCACAACCTCTGTGGAAAACATAAGTTAAATACTGTGGACATTCAAACTAGGTGTGACCATCATTTGCCTTTCCCAGAGAATTTTTAAATCTCAAAGAACTGAGGTGTGTGCCAAAATAGAAAGCTTTACTCTCAAGCGAGTTACATCTATTCCTTAAATATCTTTACTTAAAAACCATAAAATAATATCAAAATATTTAGAAATTCTTAAAGTTAATTCTGCCAATGTTAGAAAAGATACCTCCTTAGATAGAAATTTAGCCATAAATGTTTTAGCTCTTGAAATAATTTCATCTATATGTTAATTCTTACCCATCAACTTTTTCTCCTTCAGTTGAATTTGTGGCCTTAACAAATTCACTGTACTCTTGGCCAGGATCATAGAGTTTGGCACTGTCACAGAGAGACTGTAAACTGCTTGCAAGGGAGGCAGCCTGCAGGTGCTGCATCTGGAAGAGGTTAACTGTTACCTATGGCCACAGAGAGAAAAGGCAGAATAACTCATGATATACAGAATTCTATGTATATACAGATTGTTTCAATGACAGCATGAATAAAAAGGCCACACAGTGAAGCACACAACACTGAATATCATTGTGAGCATACTATGTTGCCTGAAACTGTGCAAGGTCTAGACTGGGAGGAAAAAAAAAAATCATTCTAATCTAATACCTAGGAGTGATCATTTCCAGCAAAACTAGTGTTAAACTGAAAAGTTCAAAAATACAACCCCATGCCCCTACTGATTCACAATTTTAGGAGATGGATGTATTTCTGAGGATCCTCAGCTCTGTACTCTCATGGTCTGACCACATCTGCTTAAACTCGTAAGTGAAAAACATGGGGAAAAAAAAATCCAATCACAGCACTATGATTTTGACTGTTTCTACTTTTTCAATTCTATAAAAACAGAAATGCTTTATTATTTATAGTATTCAGTTTTTATTAGATATTACCTTGAATGTATTCAAATAAATTATTCCATTGAGTTTCTACAAATGTCTAAATATACTTCACTACTACTCCTTACAGTAACAACTATAGCAACTGACAAGTGTATACAATATGCGAGACCCATTCTCAGACCTTTTCATGAATTGACTAATTTGATGTTCACAAAAACCTAGGCTTGGGCCGGCCCCATGGCTCACTGGGGAGAGTGCGGTGCTAAGTAGCACCGAGGCCATGGGTTCGGATCCTAATAGGGATGGCTGGTATGCTCACAGGCTGAGCGTGGTGCAGGACCATGCTGAAGGTTGTGATCCCCTTACTGGTACAAAAAAAAAAACAAACCTAGGCTTTGGGTATATTATGGCAAACAAATGAGATCTCAGTTCTCTTGGACCTTTATCTTCTCCCGAGGGTGGTAAGAGTGAGAGGAAACAAATCATGTTACAAGATACTTTCTGGTACTGAAAAATGCCATGAACACTACATAAGAATGTAAAATTATGGAGCATGATCAGGTATGTTTGTGGAAGGGTACTTCAACCACTGCTTTGAAAAAATTAATGTGCAAATGAATCACCTGGGGGATCTTATTCAAATGCAGATTATAATTCCAAAGCTGTGTTGAAACCCAAGATTCTACATGGCTTGTAGGCCCTCCAAAGTAATGGTGGTGTGACTGGTTCAAGGACCACATTCTGAGAAGAAAGGCTTTCTAAACTTTAGTTTCCTCATCAGTAAAATGAAGCTAAAAACAATTACATTTACATTTTAGGATTTTATAAGAATTAAATGATTAGTATAGACAAAGAGCTTAATAAACTGACAGGAACATATTCAATCTTAGCTATCATTAGCTATTGTGAATTAAATGATTAGTATAGACAAAGAGCTTAATAAACTGACAGGAACATATTCAATCTTAGTTATCATTAGCTATTGTTTGAGATAAAGGGGATTTGTCAAAGGTAAATGGTTGCCTTAAATGACTTACAAGGTAATTTTTAATTCTGGGAATTCATAATTCTTTTAAATTGTTTTATGATTCTGTAAGTTAATCAAATATTAATTAATCAAAATTTGGTAAATGAATGATATACAATTTTAAATACTCAAAAACATTTTAAGGAAGGTTTCTGATCTAGATGGAGTAAGCTCACTACCCTCAGGGTCCCAGTGAATTCACTTAAAAATGCTGGACAGAAAGCACAGATCAGCTATCTGAAGACTCTGAAAAGTAAATGGTAGCAGGTAGATTGTGGATATGAACTACAATTCAAGGTTTGACCAATCTGGTGATATGTTTCCTTGCTCCCCTCTGCCTCCCACCATGTTTTCCAGCCTGTACTCCACTCCTACATAAAACAGTCTGCTTCCCAGACGTGCAAAATGGGTATGGACAGAAAAAGCTCCTAGAGAGGTCCTCTTTGGTCCAAGGAATGAAAGGGGATGGGAGTGGGAGATGTGACTGAAAGAGAAGGGGAAACCCCCTGGTTTCTTCTGTATGTTTGTTTTCTCTCTTGCCCCAGTTCCCAACCAAGCCAAATCCCTAAGAAACAATCTTGTAGCAGAAACAGTGATAGCAGTAGCAGCTCAACAGACACCTAAAATCCTTAAGGGAATCATCTTTTATGACAAATGAACTGTGTGGTCTAAAGAGTGAGGGGTTTGAAATTCTTTTTTTCTCTTTATCCTCCCCCTACTACTTGGCCCTGGAGAGCAGCAGAGTGGGTAGACTTCAGTTTCCTGGCCAAAAGACTAAGAAGGGAGTCAAAAAGGAATTGAAGAGTGAACCTAACAAGATCAAATGCCTGCCAAAATTTTTTAAAGATCAATGTTCAATACAGGCTATAAACAGGACCCAGAGTCACATAAAGTAATATTGAAAATGTCTAGGATACCATCCAAAATTACTTGCCACACAAAGGACCAGGAAAATCTCAACAGCTCACAGGAGACAAGATAATAAACAGACACCAACTCTGAGATGACTCAGATATTGTGATTATCAGATAAAGACTCTAAGAGCAGATATTATAATGATTTCAAGAAGTAAAGACAAACAATCTTGAAAATGGGAAGACAGAGTATCAGCACAAAAATGGAAGGTATAAAAAAGAAACAAAAAGAAATGTTAATACTGAAAACTAATATATCCAAAACAAAAAATGTACTGGATGGGCTGTATAGGAAAATGGAGATAATAAAGGAAAGAATCACTGAATTTGAAGACAGATCAATAGAAACCACCAAGAGAAAAAAGATAGGGAAAAAAAAAAGAGGACCTTCTAAACCTGTAGGAGAATAACAAAAGGTCCAGCTTTTGAGTCTCTGGGTCTGAAAAGAGGAGAAAGAGTGCTACAGAAAAAACTTGAAGAGACAATAGGCATAAACTTCCAAAATTTTGCAAAAGTCAAACTTGCAGGTTCAAGTTGTTCAGCAAATCCAAAACAGGAAAAACTGAGCATAATTCATGCACAGATACATCTTATACATCTTAATCAAACTGCTGAAAACCAAAGACAAAGAAAAAAAAATCTTAAAAGCAGCCAAAGAAAAACAACACATACCACCACTGAGGGAACAATGATTCAAATTATGACAGATTTCTCATGAGAAATATGGAGGCCAGAAGGCAATTGTACAATATTTTTAAAGCAGTTAAGAACTGAATTCTGTATTTAGAATTTTATATCCAGTGAAAATGTCCTTTATGAATGAAAATGAAATAAAGACACTCTCAGATGATGTACAACCAAGATAATTCACTGACACCAGACCTGCTATAAAAGAAATGGTAAAGGAAGCTCTGCAGACAAAAGAGAAATGTTATCAGAGAGGGAAGGTGAAACTACAGGAATGAAAGAAGAATTAATAGAAATGGTAAATATATGTGTAAATATAATATTCTCTCTTCTTAACTTCTTTACAATACATATGACTTTTAAAAGAAAAAAATATAAGGTCTGGTAAGGTTTTTAATGTATATAGATATAATATACATATATCAATTACAACCCAGAGTGGGGAAAAGAACTTACAGTGCAAGGTTCCTACATTCCACTTGAAGTGGTAAAATACTAGTACTAAGAAGACTGTGAAAAATAATATATATGCTTGTATACCACAATCCCTAGTGCAACCAAATTTTTTTTTTAAAAACTACATAAGAGATATAGTCAAAACCCAATAGATAAATTAAATAGATAAATTACAATGTACACAAGCAGTTTAGATATACTAAAACGTAATTTAATAGATAAATAAAAATAGATTAAGTTAATTCCACAATAGATACATTAAAATGTAATTCTAGAAAATTATCAGTTCATCCAAAAAAGGCAGCACTGGAGAAACTGATGAAGAGAAACAAGGTATAAACAGAAAAGAAGTAAAATAGTAGACCTAAATCTGAACATATATTTACATTAAAAATAAATGGTCTAAACACTCCACTTAAAAGACAGATTGTCAAAATAGATTAAACAAAAAACTAGAATTGATGCATATGCTATCTATATGCTACATAAGAAACCCACTTTAAATATAATGATAAAGTTAAAATAAAAGAATACATACTATACTCAAAACAATCAAAAGAAAATTGAAATAGCTATATCAATATTAAATAAAGTAGATTAAAAAGCAAGGAAATTTACTAGGATAAAACACATTTATTTCATAAGGATAAAAGGATCAATACACCAAGATCACATAACAATCATTAATGTGTTAGCAACTAACAACAGAACTTCAAAATACATAAAGCAAAAACTGATGGAACTAAAAATATACAATATGTTGGAGACTTCAAAACTCCGTTCTCATTAATTGATAGAAGTAATAAAAACAAAATCATCAAGAATACAGAAGAAATAAATTACACCATAAACCAACAGGAACTAAATGACACTTAACAAAATATTCCAGCTAATGATAGTAGAACATTCTTTTCAAGTACACACATGAAACATTCAATAATCTTTTCAAAGAAACAGTTTATAGTTTCATCGATTTTTCTTTTTTTTTTCTGTTTTCAATTTTATTAATTTCTGCTTTTTATTCTTTATTTCTGCTTGTTTATAACCCATATCCTCGATCATAAAATAAACCATAACAAATTTAAGAGAATTGAAATCACACAAAGTATTTCTCCCACGATAATGGAATTACAGTAGATATCAGTATCAGGAAGATACCCAAAAAAATTATCAAATACTTGGAAATTAAGCAACAAATTTCTAGATTTTCCACCAGTCAAAGATAAAGTATCAAGGGAAATTAGAAAATATTTTGAAGTGGGCAAAAATGAAAACACAATATTTCAAAATTTGTGGGATGCAGATAAGCAGTGCTTAGAGGGAAATTTAAAGCATTAAAAGGTCTCAATGAACAATGTAAGCTTCCACCTTTAAGAAATTAAGTGGGAGGGCTGGCCCGTGGCTCACTCGGGAGAGTGCGGTGCTGATAACACCAAGGCCCCGGGTTTGGATCCCATATAGGGATGGCCGGTTCGCTCACTGGCTGAGCGTGGTGCTGACAACACCAAGTCAAGGGTTAAGATCCCCTTACCGGTCATCTTT